GGATGCTCTCAGAAACACACTTCAACAAAGCCCTGACAACCTCTAATCAAAACTCTGGAAATGGAGCAGGTCCTGCATTTCTCATTTTATACATGGCGTGAGCGTTTGAGAGGCACAAATCCACTAGGTGAAAAAANAGTTTGCGGTACCATTTCATTGTTTTTCGTACAGTTTCAGTGATGGATAGTTGTCTGTCTACATTGTCTGCAACTCCCATATTTTGGTTATAGTCGTGGATACACGTTGGTTTCATGATATCCTTATCTGTGCCACGACGTTTCTTGCCAGTTGGACAAAAATCAACCTTGTGCACAGGTGACAACATACGCACACTTCTTTTGTCCTCACATTTTATTGCCATCCAGACGTCAGTGTGAGCAACTTGTATTTGTCCTCGTGATAACTTGTTTTCCAGTTTCGGCATTCCCTTTCTATTTGCTTTTACTGTCCCACACAAACCACTATCTCGGTCATGCAAAAATTCTGCCAAGGCAGGAGATGTGTACCAATTGTCAACATACACAACGCGACCCTGACGATGGTACGGTTCTAAGAATTGGGCGACAATATCTCCAGTAACACCTAATCCGAACTTTCTATAGTCAGTGTCTGCTCCTGTATACACAATAAAGTTTAGAATGAATCCCGTTTCACAGTCAACTAACTCAAACAGCTTGATGCCAAACCAATTTTGCTTCAAAGGTATATACTGTTTGAATCTAAGCCGCCCTTTCCAAAGTAATAGACTTTTATCAATACTGACTTTTTCCCTGAAGTGAGAGCTGCTGAAAATTTAGATTAAAGAAAATCTATTACTGGCTTGATTTTCGCTAAAGTATGGCCTGCAATATCCGATGTCGTATTTTTATTGTCGTGAAAATGAATGTAACACAAAATCTGCAAGTATCTGTCGCAAGACATCATCTGACGAAAAATTGGAGTTTGTACTAATTGATCAGTCGACCAATAACTATGTAATTTGCCTTTCCGAACGTGTCCCATGAGAATCGAAAGGCCAAGAAAAATTTCGAAGTCTTCTTTTGTGAGGGGAATTCAAGGCTTCATATGGTCACTTTGAATTCCAGGATTTTGAAAATGATAACGATTAGTTTCTTCAATAATCATTTCAATCAGTGAGGAGTCGAAAAAATAATTGAAGAAGTCTATAGGTGTATTACCTGCTACATTGATGTTTTGATTGATTTCAGAGGTACCGTTGCAATCCTTTATTGATGGAAAAAACCACGAGTCTTTATAAATTTGATCTTCGACATACTCCACATCTTCTAAATCTTCTAAATCAATACCATATGTTTCTTCATCGTCAGGGTCTTTTTCCTTTGGCTCAGATTCGCCGCTTGTCCAAGCTTCGTCGTCAGCCATTATCTCAAAGATGAGTGATGGAACACTTCTTGAATAGCAAAATGTAATAACAATAACGAACAACTACTATGCTAATTAGAATATATACGTGGAAGTGTGAAAAATAACTAAATACTATCTCGTTGTCAGATGCTACTAAAAATTACAATTTTTCGATACTTTTACCTGGAG